GCTCCTATCTAATCCTATCTATCCTATCTATTTATCTGGTCAATTTGAAACGACGTTACCGACGTTATTCCGAAATAATGATCTACTTGCTGTTGTTACTTGGCGTCCTTGGGCCCCTTTTGAAACAATGATATGTTTATTTAAATTAATTTCTAGTGGAACTAGCCTGGAAATAACATTTTTAAGAAGAAGTTACATTATTATTATTATTCTTATAGTTATGATTATTATTTTTTTTATAGTTATGATTATTATTATTACTATTATACATTTTGTTTTATTTATTAATTAAAATTATAGTTGCTATTATCTTAATTTAATCCTATGAACTAAATAAATTATATTATTTTAAGGCTAAGTAGATATTTAAATCTAAGTAGGATAGCTTGCGCTGGGCCGCCATCCTAGAACAGCAGTAGACGGCCCAAAGCCGCCGCTGCCTGATAGTCGGCGCGAAGCCGCCGTCCAAGTTGTGAAATTTCAATGACCGGGGCAATTTTTTCGCGTCATAAATTTGTCCCGTTCGCCTTAGCACAGGCAAGCTGGAGGCAACCTAAAACCGAAACCTCACTGCTCACCGTCAGCTCCACCCAGGTTAGCAGGCTCCAGATTAGTAGCAGGGTAGTGGCTCTGCAACATGTCCTTGACTTCAGCTTGACCGGATTCAAGGGCCCGGCGGGCATGGTTACTCAACTTGCGAACGAAAGCTATGGCGCTTTCCAGGTCGCGCTTGCCATTGTCAAGGTCCATCTCCTGGAGCAACTCGGGCGTCTCTGCACATATATCGAGGAGCAGTAAAGCTTATAATACCAGCGATCCAATTTCGCCAAAAACTTTGAGTCGGCCCAGCTTCGTGTCGAGGTTGTGGCGCTGCCGCTCAACTTCGGTCCCTTCTGCTTCAGGTGTTGGCTGAATCTCAGCTTCAGGGATCTGCTCGGCCATGTGAACTAAAAAGTTTCTAGCAGTCTTGGATTTGGGCCGGAAATCTGCATACAACAACTTACTTACACCACCGAGTTTGCGAGCGAAACGGCAAAAGAAAGACATTGGTAATGTTTTAGGTGTGCACAGAGAGTCAAAGGCGCCACATCGCCTTGTCTGTGTCTGCCAGTTGTGATGTTTCTAATGCCATTGTTGGGCTAATGCGCGCTAGGAATCAAAAATGGACAGGCAACTCAATACAACCCAAATTCCAAGACAGAAGAATCTACTCAAGCCGCTTAAGCCGCTCACCACATTTCAGAGGACTGTTCATCTTCCTCGTCGTTGTTTTCCTTCTTGGCTTTGCGGGGCTTCTTCTTGGGTTTGGGGTCGGTGCCTTCCTCCTCCTCTTTAGGGTCGGCATCTTCGCTCTCCTTCTTGGTCTTGCGAGATTTCTTTTTTGGCTTGGGCTCCGTCTTGGCGTCAGGGTTGGGCTTTTTTTTCTTTCCGCTGGTCTTGTCAGTTTCTGTTTTATCTTTGCCGTCGCTACCTTCTCCTTCCTTTGCCACAGACTCGGGTCGAAAGAAAGTGGAACCTTCACGTGACAGCTCGCCCAAGATATGGGCCGTGAGGAGAAGCTCTAAGCGTGATCCGTGGCTTTCTGTGCCACACACTGCAACTCCTTTGGTGCGGCTAGCAAGGCAAGCTTTGCAGAACTCTCCTTGGGCAGGAGACAAATCCATAACTGCTGTCGCACAGTAGCTTGCCACTAGCTCTTGGTACAACTCGTTGGGAGAAATACTTGCGCTGAAGACGCTTTCTTCGTGCTCAGCAATCGTCTTGGGATCCACATCTGGCAAATTCACACAGCGCTTGTCCCCCAGCAGTTCGACTTTGTCTTTCCTGTCAGAACGAGCAGGTTAGATTTATTAAAACTAATTTTAATAGTATTAAATTGAAATTGATGAACATGTTCGACGAATAATACCAACCTGGGCAACTTCCAAAGAGCAGCAGCCGGCAGGGCGGTCACGAATGCAATCGCGTCTCCGGACGACCAGCCAGAGTAGATCGAACGCGGCTTGTCGGGCAGGAGGACGCTTAGGGCTTTGTCGGAATAAAGTGTGAACTCCATTCGCTGGGTGTAGGAATGGGCCTTGACTCTTTTTTTCCGGGTACGAATGCTGTTCTGGCACCCATGTGATAATAAATAAAAAGAAGTTAAAATTGAAATGCTGTTCTTTTTGAAGGGAATTCCTCGTTGAAGCACAACCACACAGGCTGCGAAGTGCTGTCTTTTAGAAAGGCTTTGGGCAGAATCCCCAAAGGATCGAAGACGGCAGCTAAAACACCTTCTCTAGGGCAATTGCACTTGCCATTCTTGTCTTGTTTGGGCACCCAAGCCCACCAAAGTGGATCCAAGCAGTTTCTGGATAAGGGCCTCATCCGGCTTCCAGACTTTGCGAAGGCCTTCCTGAGAATTTGGCCCAAGACTTTCCCCGAAAAGGGACGTGTCGAGGTGGACAAGGGTGCAATTCTTGCCAGCTTCAGGAGTTGGCAACTGCAGCTTCTCGACCATCGCTGTCACATTGGCTGCACTTCTTGGCTCCGTGACAAATTCCACATACATGCGGACGGTCTGGTTTGCCACTGCCTTCCAGTACTGCGGAGAATGCTTCGGGAGGGTGTTCGGCGTTTTTCGCGCCAAGTTCAGGAGGTGGTCTGGGGTTTGACCTTCCGTGGCTGCTTCATTGCCTGATTCATCAGCCTTGCCTTCCAGAGTCTGCAAACCAGCCTTTTCCTCTGCCAGCTCGTTCTCGTGAAGGTTGACAACTCTGCTCCAGGCTTCCACGATGGTTTCCATCTCATTGAGAATCTCTGGGTGGGAATTTGGCTTCATGCCCTGCTTCAGGATGTTGTCATGCTGCTTGAGAAACACCACGTCGTGGATGAAAGTGAGCGCTTCCTGGGAGGCCTTTGTCAATGACCCTTGCCAGCCGACATTCTCCACGGTGTTGGTTCGGGTGGCAGGAGGATCTTTGAGATGCTTTTTGAGAAGAATTCGGTCAGCATCTTTCAGTTTCGCTTGTACACACATGATGTCCAAGATGTATGTTAAGCAGCGCCATTTGAACTCGTAGAGGTGAATGCTGCCAGGGTTGGAGGAGCCGCCAATCATATTTTTTTTTCTTAAGTCTTCGTTTTTGATGACACCGTGGCAAAGCAGATTATTAATGAGCTGGAAGATGAATCTGCGGGATGCCAAGCAACTGGGGCGCTGGGCTAATTTCTCCAACTTCACAAGGCTGTTGAAGCAACTGTCAGACCCTTTCAAAGTTTCTTGTTTGTTCACAATGTCGGTGATTACCTGGTTAGACTGCAGCTTGGTGACGATGGATTTGGCGGCCGTGAAGTTCCACTCACAATAATTGGTGACATCCATCGCAGACTGACCGGAGCCTTTCTGCGCAGTCATCAAATGCTTGGACTTCAAGAGTTGCACCACCTCCGGGTCAGAGAGCTTGCGTCCCTCCAGCTTTTCCATTAGTGCCTGGAAATCAAAAATTTGCAAGGTGCGATGCAAAGATTAGTGAAATCAAAAAGCCGGCCTGAAGGTAGTAGAGTTCAGCTGCGTTTTGCCAAGCCGTGCGGGTAAGGCTCTCGTGTTCCTGCTGCACAAGCTGCCGCTTGTTCAGAGCATGTACCCACACGTCAGCTTCCGAGCACGCAGTCATGACCACAGGCAGTGCAGTCCTAGGATCATGGCAGTGGCACTGAATTCAAATTTTATATGAACCAGGTTGCAAAATTAAACTATGTCATCCTATAGTCAAAGCGTTCTTCCAAGCCGTCTTGCAAGCTGCGCTGACACCGGCCTGACCAAGCTCCGAGGCAGCTTTCAGAAAAACGGCATGAATGACTTCCAAGGGTGAAATAACCAGAAGGCCAGACGGTTGGTCTGTCAGGGTGGCGACATCCACCTGTACTTCAAGAAGCTTCTGAAAGAAGTTGTTCGGGCGATCTTCCGGGAAATAGAAATCCGCAAGCTGTTGCACTCGTAGACGGCTCAAAGGCACTCCAGGGGCTGGATTCTTCTAGCAATCCAGCCAGTAGAGGTTGCAACTGGCGATGTAGGTTCCGTGGGATTCCAGCGCAACTTTGGCCTTGGACAAGTCGTAGACATCCTGAATCAGGGGACGGTTTATAAGGATAACTGAACATGTGGAAACATTTAAAACTAAATAGGCATTGAATTAAAATATCAAAATATATGTGAGTGAAAAATCGTCGTCGTTATTAAAAACACAGAATCCTGAATACCGGACTTCTCGTTGACAGTGGCTGTAATGGGGGCGGGCTTCATCTCCTTCAAGTTGGAGCCAAGAGCTTGGGATATGACCGCCAGGTCTTGCTTCAAGTTCTCGTAGTAGTCGTTGTTGCAACCTGCCGAATCCACCACCAAAGAAGGGTCCGCTCCAGGCTGTCCAGCAGAAGCTTTGTTTCCAGCAGCAGCCTTTTCTTTGGCCTTGTTCTTGGCGCCGACATTGTACTGCTTCTGAAGACTCTGCTCGTGCTTTGCTTGCTGGGTGAGGCGAATCAAGCGCTTCCGTTCATCGTCTCGTAGGCGGTTTTTCTCCTCCTCGCTCAAGTTGCCAGCCAACCCAGCTTCCCAAGTTGCTAAGTCTCTTTCCACAGCTTGCTGCTCGCCCTTGTTCAATCTCCAAGCAGACGGGTGCTTAGTAGGCATCTTCGAAGCAAACTACACACACTAATGCCACGTGGAGACTAAGCGGCTGCAGAAAATCAAAGGCTTGGCTAGTGACAAGTGAAATGAGACAGGAAACTACATAAACATCCCAGCGGTTGTAGTTAGCGCAGCTTGGCTATTTTCTAAAGCTTAGCAGGCAGCTTCAAACAAGCGATCCGACAATGTTGCGAGGTCGCTAGCCTTACATTCGGCCCATGGGTCTTTGGATTTCAAAGACGACGGCCACAAGGAGGCAGCCTTGAGCGCAGCTGGCAAAATGCGCATCAACACATTCACCGACATGGCATTACCAAAAGCACCCATGATTTGCTTCTCGGCCGCCTCTTCAGTTTTGTAAGTTGTCTTCTTCCGGCTTTTCGAAATCATGCGGCGATAAAGTTCGGCCGGAACACCTTGGAAACGAGCACATTCCACGCCATCCAGTAGTCGACGCTGCTTGGTGAGGTAATAGCCTTTTTGCAAGCAGCGAGCACGGATGAGGCAAGGGCAAATACCGTTCGCCTTCTTTTGCCAAGCTGGGCTGGCCCCGATATCCAAAACTGAATGCTCGTCCCAAATTCCAGCTCCGTGATTTTTTTCATAAGATGCTAAATCTGGTTTGTAGCTGCCAGTGCGATGTACGTCCAAAAAAGAATTCAAGGGCGGGCACTTCAGAGGCTTCGGAAATCTAAAAGAACTTTTTTGCTTCTTGGTCTGGCGGAAAGCCACAAAGTACACTCTGGTGCGGCTCTGAGGAATGCCGTGCTCCATTGTCTGCATTTTCTTCATATAGGCCACGTACCCCAAAGCAGCGAAAAATTTCCTCATAACTTTGTGGGTCTTCGCGTGTCGTTTCTGCAAAAAGGCAGCCACTTACTCGAGGATCACGACATCAGGCTTCCAGTAGGCAACTTATTTGAAGCCTTCAAAAAGTAATAGACCTCGGCCATCGCGGGCTCCAAGTTTTTTACCACAATTGCTGTAGGCAGGGCAGGGGAAACCTGCAATGTAGATATCGCAAGGAAAAGTGTTTACCAAGCTCCGGTCAAAGATGTCGCGCTCTAAGTGTTCCTTCTGGGTCTTCAAATTGAAGGCGCGATGAACAACTTGCAACAGGCATCGCTTGGTACTGTCGATTTCAGTGCCTCCAACAAACTCAAAGTGTTGTTCTTTGAAACCCAACAGAGCCAGGGCTATGGTTTCTGAACCAATGCCAGCACAATCTGCAAAAATTCGAAGCTTTCCAGACGAAGGTTTCGGCGGCTTCCGCTTCGTCTTGTGTTGCTGGACGAAAGCACGTAGAGCTGCTATGTGGTTTTCGACGGTTGAGGATGACAAAGGCTGCCTTTGCGCTCTTTAACCAAACCTCTTTTTCTTCGGGGCCATGGGTGCAAACACGCTAATGCAGTAAATGTTTTTAGAAATGATAGTGACTTTCAGTGAATCTGAAATGATATTTTTGACATGTGATGTAAGTATATCATTGTTATTTATTTATCTTAAACCAAAGATTCGTCAGATTTTTTTTCGAAACTTCCGGACCTAAGATTTTCTGCGCGTAAGGATAGTAGCGATTCCCTACCCCCCTTACGCAAGGCCAGACCGGCCCGGGTTCGCGTAAGGATAGTAGTAAAATGCGTAAGGATGCTACCTTTTTGATTTACTATTATGCTTACACAAATTGCTACTACGCTTACGCAAGGCCAGACCGGCCCGGGTTCGCGTAAGGACCGCGCGGTCGCCGTTGGAGCACCTCTGCACACTGTCTTTTTCAACCCCCCAAGATTTGATCATTACATCCATGTTGGACGCGGAAGCGGTCACTAAAGCACAGAGGTAACAAGAAAAGACTTCTTTTTCACTTCACACTTGGCCGTCAAGTACCGCACGAAAGACGACTTGTCGAAAGTCTTAAATAACTTGGCTTTCAAATGCTTGGCCTGGGGATCTCGAACAGCAAGAAGAGTAAGCGATATTTTTTTTTCAAGGCAGGTCTCTTTCAACATACGCCAGCCATATCTTTCAAGAGCCCAAGCCAAAACCTTGACGAACTCTGGATGTTCATCACGAAAAGCTTTGGAGCAATACACCCCAACATGTTGTCGTCCAAGTTTGCGAAAGGCTTCTTTGTGATACTCCATCTTGAGTCCTGGTTTTCCATGCAGCACGGCTTTGGAGAGCAGACACTCACCTTGCGCCATAGCTAGCAAGTAGATTTTCTCGGAGATGCCATCCGGATCGCACAAGAAAACTGAAGCGTCCCGGGGATCCTGGACAAGCTGAAGAAAACACAACATACCACGGTCAAGCACTTGGCCAGCGCACCACGTCTTGCGAGCGCCCAAAGATTTCCAGTTCCAAAGCTGCGGAGTACAAAGCCGCTTGCAGTTTTCAGTTCGAACAGTTTGGGCATCAATTCTTTTTTGGTCTTGTTGGGCGTGTTGTTTTCTTTGGGCAGCTGCCTTCGCAAACGGCTCTGGGCCTTCATCTTCTTCTAAAAGATGTCCGTTCATTGAACCTTGCATTGCACGGGCCAATCTCCTTTTTTTTTGCAAAGCTAACTCTTTGGAACCTTTTTCGGACAAAGGCGTGTTGTCGTCTCTGGCTTCGCACCGTCTGGAAGAGGGAGGTAAAGAACGCAGGGTTTCTGCAACACCTTTTCGTTTCTTGGACAAAAAAGTTGCTTCAGAACCAGCCTTCGTTTTTTTCGGCAGGCCCGAGTCCATTCTTCTCTTTTTCTGAGGCCCTGTGTATTTTTTGACAGCTCTGGCAAACAGTCGGCGAGCTCCCTGCAAAATGTCTTGCTCCGATTTTTCAGCCATGGTCAGAACACTGATGCATCGTCGTTCAGTAACTACAAACTTCGGCCCAAAACGCCCGGCGTGAAGGCAACGGTCGGCTTTGCTGAAGCTTTGCTCCACTCCCGACCTGAGACGAGGGTTACATATTTCATAATAAAATATATATAAATTCAAAATTCAAATGAAGTCAAGGCGCGACGATGGAGTCCAATACGTGTGAGCTTGGAGGGTTTTCGGAAGGTTAGCCAGCTGGTATTTTTTCTTCAAAGCACTCGTCTTTTGTGTGTAATTCAAGGCGGCTTTCCACGTATCCCTGTTCTCCATTTCTGATGTCTGGTTTTACGAGAGGGCAATTGGGCGAACGGCCTCCCATTCTTGTTTCAAACCATGCGGGTCCAGATCTAGGGCCATGGCAATACGACGCAAGCACTGAGATGTTTGCATTGTTGTTATTGCCCCATGTCTCACGACATTGTCGCTCAAGTTGAAAACCATCATCGAGTTGAAGACTTCGAAATAAGGAAATTCTGCTCGTACACTAGCTTCGCACAGCTTCAACCAAGGCTGGAATTCTTTCAAAGCTCGTTGCTGGGCCCCTTGTTGCAAAGAAAGCAACCGACCTTGACCACCGCTCAAAGCATACAAAGAGCCAGATTTCAAAATACCAAGCACATGCTTCGCGTAGCCCTCGACTTCCCAAGCCTTGCCGAAACGAAAAAAAACGTGGAGGTCATCCAAGAAGTGGCCAATCTCTTGGTTCAAAGCAGCAGGGTCCGTATTCTCAGAATCGAAGAAACGTGTCAGCTGCATCAAACTGTCGGCGCCATCAGCTGCCAGCGCCAACAACAGAAACTTGTGAGAAGAAATGTTGGCCAACCACGCCCGGGCCCAGTCAGCATCATCTCTCATGGGCGCAATCCTGTGAAGCACCCAAAAGAAAACCACAAGTGAAACAAAATCCTCCCCATGGGTTTGGCGTAGCTTGCGAAGCGATGCTTGGCAGCGGACATGCTGGTAACGTGAGGCGCGCCCGAGTGTTCCAAGACGGCTTCTTCAAACCAACGAGAGAAGATGTGGGAATTGAAAATTTTCTGAGTCGGCGATACACTCAACCAAATAGTTTCATCAAAGACTTCCTAGCATTTTTGTCACGCATTTTATTCATATAAAATTTTTACCTTCCAAA